ATTGCTTCGACATCAAGCCCGGTTAGCTCAGTTGGTAGAGCGTGAGACTTTTAATCTTAAGGTCGGGGGATCGAGACCCCCATCGGGCGAATTTTTCCGCAATCCATTTTTTCATTTTTCATATTTATCAACATAGGAGATGAACAACGAACAACGACGGCCGACTTGCTTTTGACGAGCGCTTCAACAGTTTAACCATTACCCAAGCCCTGACTCGGAGGGTTGAGCTGCAAGTAAAAGCTGTTTGTCTCTCGCCCCCACTGCTTCGGTGATGCACAGCTCTCCTTTTGGCAATTTTGATAACGTCGAGGAGCGCGTCTACGACGCTCTCGCATGGATCATCCCTCCCTTCGTCCTCAGCCTCTTGGCCCGGCTCTTCGTCCTCGGTCTAAATCGGCGAAGTTGGCGTGATGACGGTCTCGATGAGGCTCAGACAGACTCCTCTTTCTACTCCTCCTCGTACAAAGACAGACAGAGAGACAAACAAGACAACCATCCACCACCCCTAGTCTAAAAAGGTCTTTCTTGTGTCTGCCATTTATTGTGCAACCGTGATGGCCCGGACACACCCACCAGGTGTTGGTAGCCGACCCAGGCGTGCCCCCTGCGACGCCGCCGCCGCCGGCTGCCTCAGTCCAGGCTCCCGGCACTCGGCCCAGCGCCGCCGGCACCGCTCGGTCCTGCATTCTGCCGTCGCCGCCGTCGTCGCCATGCTTGCCAGCACAGCGCTCCTGGCCGCCGGTCCGCTGGTTGGAGCGCTCCGGTCGATGTCGTCGTCCTCGCCGTCGTCCTGGACGGCTCCGCCGCCGATGCTGCTTGTGCTGCCGGTGACGGCACCGCGCAGCGAATCGCCGCCGCCGTACTCTCCCATGACCGGTGGCGGCGCCGGCAGCAGGCGGAACTCGATCCATGTTGAGCGGCCGCCAACTCCTCGGCCAGTCTCTCCACCGCCAGCGTACCCACATGCGCAGCGGCCGACGACTCCGCCTCGGCATCAGCGGCGGCCGATCGCGGTCGGGGCCGGGCTGCAGAACCCCGGGCGCGTGCACCGGGCGGCGAGCCGGGCGATGGACAGAGTCGTCCCGTCGCGGCGGCGGGCTGCGCGGGCGCGGGCCGAGGGCGCGGTGCTGGCCGGGAAGGTCGGGCGGACACTGACTTCGGTAGAGCAGCAGAAATGCGAGGCGTACTACCGGAACTGCATGACGCGGGCGCAGCACGAGGTGTACGAGCACCTGACTCTGGAGCAGATGTTGGAAAAGTGCGAGACGCAGCGGCAATCGTGCCTGAGCGGGGCTGCCGAGGCGGCGTCGTACCACGGCGAGCTGAACCATGGGATGGTGGCTCAGATCAACCGGAACATGCGGGCACATGTTCAGCGCCAAGATCACAGGGAGTACGACCGGAGCTCTGACCATAGGGATAATGTTATGTACAACTCAAACTCGAGGCCTCCGTTCCCGGGATGATGGGATTTCTTCATGTCTGTGCAACTTTTTTCGGATGTTTTCACTTTCCCACATTTTGAATTGAAACTAAGGTGCAACGGAAAGAGTTTTGGTATTTGAAGCTAGTAGCAGTTCTTGGACAACTTGCTAGGCAGTAACTGCACTGTTGCCCGTCTGAACAAGTAAAGACGAGGCTTCATTCCTTAGGAACAGTCTCACCATTGACCATAGAGTTTTATATACATTTTCAGCTTCTTGCACTTTTATCTACCATCCCACAGCTCCCTACCAAGTATTAATATCCATGCCGAAAAAAGTTGAAGAAAGCAGTGTTAACTCGATGTGCCTTTTTGGTAATTGAATCTTCTGACTCTACATGTCCTGCTTCCATTGCCTCATACCCTCACTCACCCTCAACTTCACATTCTTCTACCTTTGATGCCAGGTGGAATGCTTGCAGTATATAATGACAAAATGGTCATTTGGAATAGTTAGGCGGAACATCATCCGAAGAGGGGAGTTGTTCCGCAGCAACCTTGAGAAGTCGATAGGTTCCCGACCAGGACCACAGATCGAGGGCGGCGTCGAAAA